CATCTTTGATAATATTAATAATAGGGGAGCCCAAGCGGGGATTTCGGAATTTACTGAAGCGCGGCAGATTAATATACAGGGGGATACCTATCTAAGCTTTGCATCCTAAAAGGTCTCTATGACGCTCGAGTAAATCCCCATTTTGCATCGTGGGCTCCCCTGCTACGAAAAATACTATATTCCTGTATCTAACTCTGTATTCTCACTTTAAGATTCCCACAGGGCTGAATACTCGGATTTCTGTTTTTCATCATATCCATAACGATAATTTGACTATGAAAAGATCCTAAATAATGTAATAATACTCTGACCACCTAAAAGATTCCTGTCTTCAAAATCCGTTTTTTTGTTAAAGAGCTGTTGATGTCGTCCCCCTACGAATGACACCTCTTAGTAGTCAAAACTTGTTCGATCTAAGGATAAACGAGGTTTCATGTCAAATGTTTTTCAATTATTTTATAAATATGCGTTATTTGAAAATTGTACTCGAAGGTTGAAAATTTGTGACGAAATTCTCAAAAAATTTAAACAAAAGAATCAGGTACCGTTTCGAAAATATCAGAAGTGGACTATGAAAAAATAAATAAGTTTACAAAATACATGCCGGACAAAAATAGGGAAATATATGGAGAGGATGCTTTGCTTGCCGATTTTTTTGGCAGGAAGCAGTCACTGTTATTTTACGGTGCAGGTACGGAAAAGTGAAGTTTTTTTTTTCAACAAACTCATCTTGTTTTTATCTATTTTTGGAGATCATTATTTCTTCATTTCGTCACCAAGAAAAATGGTTCTTTCATTTTCAACACATTCAATTTTAGATTCGGCATATTTAATTGTCTTTCTTGGCTTTACATTTTTCATATGTACATTTCAAAGCATTGTCTAACATAATTTACTTTTATTAACGAAAAGGTGTTTATTTTTTTTTACTATTTTTACATAATTGGTAGATTTTGAATTGACTTATCTATGTTACATGGCTGACGGTACTGTGAATAGCCATGATGCTCCCTAGGTGGCTCAGGTAGTTGATATAATCCCCGTCATAAGAGGCTAATGACCATAGCAGTCAATGCCTTTCACACAAAAAAAAAATTGTAGACTTGAACTATCAATTTTCACTCGCTATCGTCCAACCCGTGTTAGGAATAACACGTTAATTCTTAGCTGGCATAAATTTCGACTTCTGAGGGTTGTCGTTCGTAGGGGTGCGACAGCTGGTTAACGGAAAAACAGATTTTAAACAGATCGGAGGAATTATTGTAATTGTCGATGTGTACTTGTGAAACAGGCAAAACATCATCCACATATCTGTACCAATAAATGAATTTTTGAAAGTTATATGTTGTCAAATAGTTTTTTCAAAGTTGTCCAGGTAGTAGTGGACTTAGAGAACTACCCACTATGAGGCATTCATTGTTTTTATATATGGTGCTATTGAATTCAAAATTATTTTGGTTAATACATGTGAATAGTAGAGTGATAATATATGAAAAAATTGAGTGTTTGTGTGATTTTTAAGTAACCTTTCATCTATGATTTTGTACGACACTTCAGGAGGGACACATTCCTCCAGTATATTAACTCCATTTACAAAACATAAATTTTACAGAACTTGAAAACAATAATTCGTTGAATTTTTTAGACCTGACAATCACAAAAAACAACAAGAATGATTTCGCAATTTATAAAAAACCAACCCGTACAGACCCAATCAACCCAATTTGTGGAAATAAACTTAATCAAACGATTGCATATCTAAACCAGCACAAGGAATTTGATGGAAAGAATTGAAATCTCTGGCGTAAAACACACCAGAAAAAAATGCCATTTCATTACACTTTTCGGTTACCAAGTTAGTAACAGCAGAAGATAACTAAAACTTAATCTTATGTCTATGTTAAATATTTTATTGTACATCTGGACAAACCACGCCATTAAATTAATTTCTGGTATTACTTATTTTGTTATTGTTCCAAATGTAATTATGTAGTATCAAATATGTTACCTAATTTTTACATTTCTCTACTGATAATTATTATGTCAGAAAAGTATATTGGTCAAACTAAGCGGATAACAAGCTAGCTACAAAAACATGTTTCACAGATCATAAATCAAAGACGTCTTTTGTCACACAACATGCCTTAAAGGGGGCCACAGAATAAATGAGGAATTTTCGAAAAGTGGAGACCAGTACCTTTACGAGGAAAGTTTTCAGACGCCTAATAAAGTATAGATCGAAAAATATCGAATGAGATCCATGAACAGCAACAAATTCCCATTCCAAACAGTTCGGTTTCACCCTCTTACATAATAATTATAGATAAAAAACAAGATAATTATAAGGTACAATACTAGATAGTAAATAACATTAGGAACAATAATACTAGGATATAATTTAATAACCCTTATATGTAGATGATGGTTCGTTCAGATGTATAAAAAACATTTACATCGTCTCAAGATTCAGTAATAGTTATCTCCGTATGATGCTAACTTGATTAGCAAAACACACATCAAGTGACAGTTTTTTTTTTATTCTGGTGTCAGTTGATCCTCTGGAAAAAAAATCTATTCAAAAACTTGTGTGAGCTAGAGATTAACGATGTCTTGCCTTTAAACGTGCGATTCCTAACACGGGATAAATATATCAAGAAACCAGATGTTAATATCTTTAGTTCAATATATGTCACAGTTCAATTAAAGTTCATGGCTCGTTACTCATGAAAAGGAAAATAAATTAAAAATAGTTAAATTTGAAAAACTTTTCTATTTTTCTCATTATGAAACGAATGTTACTGGTACTGTAAAAGTAATTGAAATTCTCATCAAAACTGAGGAATCAAAATCTCTTGGAACAAATATTTTTCAAAAGTAATTTCAAAAACTACACCTCACAATTTTTCAAAAACTAGTAATACTATTTTACCATAAACCTAAATAACATTAGAATATCAAGGTTGACAATGATAAAATAGGCTACCTACTAAGAAAATCAAATCAAAAATATAACTTAATTTGTTAT